GGTTATCTTAATAACTTGCCTTCCCTTAAAAAATACAAAATTATATCCCCTACAAGCAGCCCTGTTTCCAGGTTTTCTGTCAATGTCAGAAATCTACTTTTAAAAACTAATCACACATTTGTTTTTTCCAAAGTAAAGCTCAAATTACACTGAAAATGCCATGGTTAAGCAGACTTGTACCAAGGTTCATATACAAAAAGGCAGTATTTAGATCATGCTGTCAAAAATAAGAATTACCCGGATATAAAAAGAATATTCACTGTTTCTCTTGTGCTTTATGTGAATAGGAAGCATGGCTTCAGCCACAAAGTCAGGTTAGGACTGACTAACTGGTTCAGCTTAATGTTGTCTGCTTTGTTTAAATAACTCCTGCTTCAATTCCCTTTCTTGCTGCATGCAGAGTGATGAAGCAGAGCTTTAATAGCAATCTAGCTGGGGTATGGTCAAGCATTGTTTTTCAAACTCCTTCTGTTTATCATAAAAGATCATTTCATTACACTGGTTTCCTGAAACCCTCCAGATTTATTATTTGTCTTCAGGGCACAAAAATACAAAATCTTCTTAAGAGGAGTCTAAGCTTTTTCCCCTTGTATTAGAATAATTCGTAAACTACTTATATCTTCCTACTGCTTCTTGAATGCCTGCTCTAATTAGATTGACAGCTTCTCACTTTGTTACTATGAAAGCTGTAGGACTGCATTTAAAAAAACCAAAACAACCAAACACTTCAAGAAACAAACTGCATATAAGCTGGATGGGGATTTAATGTGCAAGTTCTCTCATGTTTAGAATTATTACTAAGTTTAATGAATTCAGTTTTAATTTAGTAACAATTATATAATTAAATATATTAAAAATATATTAATAATAATTGTTATTCACATGAGCAAGGTTTCTTGTTCATGTGGTTTATGTAACCCATAAAACATGGCTGCTATTATTTCCACTGAAAATATTCACTTGACTATATCTCATTTTAACCACTCCAGAGTTCATGTCTTTTTCCTCTTGTCTTCAAGATGTTTTGGGGGAGGGGGGTGGTTATGACAAATAAAGTAGTAGGAGTATGATACATTTTCCTTTACTAGTGAAACAAGGAGGAAATTTTTTCAATTAAAAATGACAATGAAAATAAACATAAAACAGGATCTTTACTTAATTTTTTCAGACTATGATTCATGAAAATGAGCACTACTTGGGCGAGTTGTAAACATATTATCATATTTGGGTGGGATTTTGAAAATTATTGGCATTGCTTTTGAAGATATTTTTATTTGATTTATAATAAAAGACCTAGTGTAAGCACAGGAAACTCAAAATAAAG